TTGTATGCAGGATGGAGGCCTTGCCCTGAACAACGAGCAGATCAGGGATATTGCCACAAACCATCGAAAGCAAGGGCTGATCAAAACGCTGCACCTTTACCTGAGCGACAGTGGTACTTGTCACAGCCAGTGCCTCAATTTCTGACTAGGGTTGAGTTCGCAACACCTTGGATTGCTTTGGCACCTTCTGCAGCGCTAGGCAAAATGTGAAGCTGGCCCTCACGCTGCCACGCGCAGCAGGGATTACTCTGACCCGGTCATGGACAGTAGGCAAAGCACCGCGCGCCGTTGCAGTGGTTTTGGCGCTCGTGCGAAAGTTTGACATTCCTCAGCATGAACCCCCGAGCTCACTAACATGGATCGATCCAATTTGATTACAAGAGCCCCTGGATTTGCGGAATGCCACATCTTTCCACAAGTTACGTGCTTGCACGGAACCCAAAAGGGAATCCCCCAAAATGAATTTTCCTCTAAGATTTGTTCCCCCTCTTTAGGTCGGGTTAGTTGAACAGACATATCAACTATATACTGGTTTCAGCTAGGTTCGATTCGACTTTCTTGTTTCATGTCATGAAACCCTGAAATGTGCAAACACGAGCTTCATAAAACCCTGAAATGTGAGCAGCGCATTTCATGAACTTTTGCAACTCTGTGACTTTTCTTCGGTCTTCGAATTCGAGGTGTTCAAGGTGGTATTCGGGCTGCCCTCAACAAGGGCCGACGAGGAAAAGATCATCGACAAAAGCGGTTCCATCTTTACTTGAGCCCTGGCCCCGGAAGACCCCACTGGCCCCGGGACCGGCAAAAACCGTCCCGGGACCGGCCAAAACCGTCCCGGGACCGGCCAAAACTGTCCCGGGACCGGCCAAAACCGCCCCGGAGACCTTCACAATTCCGGCCTCAAGAATCCCATCCGCAAAAACTCATGAAATGGTCTGCGGATCGAGTCTTGAACTGTGGACTCATGAAGTGGCAGGTTCATGAAACGGCATGCGCCCTAAAATCATGAAACGCGCTTTCACAGTCAACACATATCAGGGTTTCATGAACCGCGCTTCGCAGTCACGCGTGACACATTTCAGGGTTTCATGAAACGCGATTCAACCGTCATTTCAGGGTTTCTTGAAACGCTCTTTCACAGGCCCCCGGGTTGCAAAATTTTATGAAACGCGCTGCGCACATTTCAGGGTTTTATGAAACTCGTGTTTGCACATTTCAGGGTTTCATGAAGTAAAACAAGAAAGCCGAACCGAACCTAGCTGAAACCAGTATATAGTTGATACGTGTGTTCAACTAACCCGATCTAAAGAGGGGGAACAAATCTTAGAGGAAAATGTGTTTTGGGGGATTCCCTTTTGGGCTCCATGGCAGACAAACGTGCACAAGCACGTAACTGTAAGGGGCTCTTGTAATCAAATTGGATCGATCCATGTTAGTGAGCTCGGGGGTTCATGCTGAGGAATGTCAAACTTTCGCACGAGCGCCAAAACCACTGCAACGCCGCGCGTTGCTTTTCCTACTGTCCATGACCGGGTCAGAGCAATCCCTGCTGCGCGTGGCAGCGTGAGGGCCAGCTTCACATTTGCCTAGCGCTGCAGAAGGTGCCAAAGCAATCGGCTCGAGCTTGGGCCTGGTCTCGGATCCAAGGTGAGCATTGCGAACTCAACCCTAGTTAACAGTAGTGAAGGCTTTGTCCGTAAGGCGTTTCCGCAATCAGAAATTGAGGCCCTGGCTGTGACAAGTACCACTGTCGCTCAGGTAAAGGTGCAGCGTTTTGATCAGCCCTTGCTTTCGATGGTTTGTGGCAATATCCCTGATCTGCTCGTTGTTCAGGGCAAGGCCTCCATCCTGCATACAAAGCAGTGGGCCACACCGTTATGAGTCATGAGTGAACCTTGCCTGCCCTTCTGAAGTCACCTGTCCAAAAAGCAACCGTTGGGAGGTCCCTATATGATATGAAGTAGGCCTGGCAGGGCAACCAACGACAAAGATCCTGCGATTTTACCAGTTGAGCCTTCAGCCTTCGCTATGTTCAGCACGTCATGGCTGCACTTCGAAAAGTCCATTTTCTGCGGGCTAAAAAGAACATTCGAGAAAAGCGGCTCCAGGTAGCAGGCAAGGGAGCATGCCTGTTTTGCACCTCAACTGCTGCGATTGGCACGGGAGGTGGCCTCAAATGCGTAATGTGCACTGGAGAGGCACGCTTTCTGTGCCCAAATGCTGCTGGAGCGGGCGAATTGCAATTTCCGGCCCTTGCCTGAAACACCGCCCCTCCAAGAAAGAACCTGTTTCTTTTCTAAGGGGAACAAAAACACTGGGGAAGATAACCAAATTCCAAAAAGGTAACTTGCTTTCAACCCGAACAAAGCAAGCAAATCTAGACCCCATGATTCTAGTACCCATAAATTGGTTAGGGAAGTTAAGGCTGCCCGGCCCAAGGTCATGATAAACAAGGTGCGTTTGGAGTCCAGCACTCCCCAGCTGGCGACGTGACTCAGGCCTGAGGGCGTCCATGCACATGTTGCTCCGCTTCGATGTCAGAATCGCGGACGCCTGACAGGCCAACTGCGGAAGCCTGATTCAGTCAAATGCTCCGGCATGCCATGACATACACGCATAGCACAACACCTAACACCTGAGCGCGCAAAGAGCCTCGGACGCACTGCCGCAGTGCCCACCCTTTGCCGCCCTGGGGCAAGCGTCTGGGCGTCTGGCACTGGCCCCTTTCGAAAGAATGAAACCGGCACACTGCGTCTCGGCGCCGAGCTTCCGCATTGCGTCGAGCAGCTGCGGCAAAACGTCTGACCACGAAGCTTGCTGGCCTGTCGGCTACAAGATGCTACAGGAGGCCCTGCGCGGTAAAGCGGCGCCAGCACGACTTACAGCCTACTGTAATGTGTGGAACCCCATCGTGCCAAACCTTTAAGAACTCACCGGGTGCCCATGGATCTCATCCAGCCTGCAAAACAGAACGACTGATCGAGGCCAAGGCGCCAAATTGCTCCTGCAGCCGGGCGAGAAGCGGTCCGTGGGGAAGTGGCCCACCTTCCGAACTTCCAAGCAACTGCTCTGTGCCAAACGCCTCATCGCATCCCTGCCTCGATTTGTCTGGCACTCACCTTAGACTACTCAAGGTTTGCTCAGGGCGTGGGCACGTGACAAGTGGCTGAGCCAACAAGGCCTGGACAGGGTCGGCTTCTCGGCGCCGTTAGTTTGGGCTTGGGCGCCAATCCGGCTGTTGGGTTTTTTGCCCGGCGCGACCAACACGCGGAACGCCAATGCGCAACCCAACAGCCAAACTCAAATTGACACCCTGTGCCACACCAGCCGTCCAAACAAATGTTTGACGGAGTGGCACAGGAAAGCCACTGGTGGGAATAATGCCAGAAGCTTGGGAGTAGGAAATCAGGAAAATTAACTGGCACCGAGATCACCGAAAAAGGAAAGAAGTGCTGCGCAAAGCAAAAATCATACGAGTACAGCGAAGCACTGAGCAATACTAAGTCAATCACAAGCCAATTCTAAACCAATACTGAACCAATTCTGCAGCAAAACCACACCAATGCTAAACCAATGCGACACCGTCATCGAATTTCCCACAATCACCGACACAGGAAAGTCCGACGCGAAAACCGAATGACGTCTCGGGGCCCCTGTCGAATTTCCCCACACCGATTCTGAAGCTGCACAAACCAGCACTATGCAACACTACACCGACTCTAAACCAATTGATGCTACACAGCATGGGGCCAGCACAACAAGATTGCAAACACACTAAGCCAATAATTCACCAATGCGAATGCTAAGCCTTCTTAGCCAATCCAAGCAATACTAAACAAGATTAACTCAAAGACTACTTGGAAACGCCCCGTTCTGACACCCAATTTGTACTGAGTGTTTAAGTTCATCAGACCCACCTTGCGGTCAAATAGCTTCCGGCCGGCACATCAGACACACCTTGCTGTCAAATAGCTTCCGGCTGCTTAGGCTGTTGGCTCTCCCAGTATGGGGGAGGCCGTTTACTAATCACTACCCAACACTACGGCCAATGTCGTGTCGGGATTTGTGGTAATTTATTGCTTGTCGTGGTTGCGTTGCCCCCTGCACACCGTCATGTGCTTCAGCGCGGATAGTGCGAGTGAATGGGCCGGCCCCACACTGACCAGCCTCTGCAACTGCTGCTATGCTGGCAGACAAGATGGACGTGACAGAAACAACACGAACAGCTCACAAACAACTGCATCGTGCATTCCTCCTCAATGCATTGGCTAGATGTAGCTACCGGGTATCAACATGCAGCTTCTGCGGTTCATTGGCGAACTTCGTAAATGCCATGTCGGCCACGCTGCTTAGGATATTCAGGGTCTCCACGGTTGCCGGGACAAAGTCGTCAAGGCAACCAAACCTCAGAAATCGCGCGATTTCCAAGGGCACGGCTCTTTTGGTTTCATCTGGCTCATCTCAGGGATCGTTGGCGCTAAATGGCTGTGCCCTGGCATGAACTTTGAAGGGACAAGGGGTATTCACGAGGCAACCGCTTCTGCGGGGCCTCTGCATTGATGCCATTAAGCAGCAGGTACACAAGGAAAGCCGTTCGGGTTGAGAACCGCACCTTGGCTTGAACATGTCCAGGACCCTTTTCGTGCATGAAACATGCTTACTACATGCTTGCTAAGATGAGGCCCTCTAGACAATCGAGGCGCTATGTCACTGCCCCCGCGCTGCTCCTTGACGCGCCGGTCGAACTCAGCAAGCACATTGCGGAGCTCCTAGCGGGCCACGATGGCTTTGATGGCCCGCAGGGCTGTAAGCACTTGGGGCAACTCCTCTGGATGCAACTTGCGCCCTTCCAGTATCGCCGTCTTCACCACTCTGAAGATGGCATCGTCCCACATGGGATCCCACTTCGCATGACGTGGTTCTCGGGTGAGCTCAAACTGGGACATCCGGGACGAGGCAGGGCTGCTTTGTGCTCCCGCCAGGCCCGCCTGCACGGCCACTGATGCGTGCGCACATGGGGACAGCAGATCCGCGCATGAAATGGGGAGCCCTACGCTTCTCCAACGCCAATGCCCGGCATAAGATGCTTTGGACCTTGTCTCGCCCCAAAAAAAACACTCGTCGGTGCGCCTTGGAAAGCCCATGTGGGCTAAGCCCTCCCTCCCCCGACGCCTGCGCCGGCACGAAGGACACCCAAGCTTGTGCACCGCTGCGCGCCGCCTTTCAGCGCTCAGCCAGGCAAACAACACTTATAGCCCCGGCCTTAGCGGGGGGGCCCAACTCCCCCCCCTCCTAGAAAATCCTGACTTAGCATGCATAATCAAAGTAGGGGCTAACAACACTCACCCCCACCGCTGCACCACCTCAAACCCGTCTCGGCCTGCAGTGGCGCTACGCGCTGGGCGGAGCTTGCCGCTGCCGATGCGGTAGCGCAGGGAGCACTGGGAGCGAAGGGGTAGGCCGCCTCTTCAGGTGCCCCGCAGTTCTCTCCCCTACCAAGGCCTAGCGCCCTCCAGTGGTATCAACGTATCAGCCGAACACATCGTGGCTTGCCCCTGCTGCCCCTGCTGCCCTGGCCTGCACCGGCACGAAGGAAGGCTGAGATGGCTGAGGCTGCCAACGCGCTGTGCTGCTCTGGGCCGCCTGTCAGGGCGCAAAGTCGCACATCAGGCATCAGGAAATGGAGCAGACGAGGTTGCCATCACAAACAAGCTCGCCTGCGGGGCCTGCTTGCCGTAGAAGCGCGCATTCATTGGGCTGACCGCTGGCGATCTCCTGATTGGGGAATGTTCTATCAAGGTCAGCTTCGAGCCAGAGCCGACCGGGATTGTGGGACAGTAATGGCATAGCAGGCTTTCACCACCCGCATCCTCAGAAATCATGGCTTTCCCATAAGTGTGTCGTGTGGGTGTTTCCATTGGCTTTCTCAATCAAGACCGTGGGGCTCCCTGCCCCAAAGCACCAATCACGGACCACCGCTCGAGCAGTCTGAGCAGCGCGCTGTCCCCGTTGCTAAGCAACTGGCCTGCACGTCATTTTAAATGGCGCAATGCCCCCAAAAACGCTGCGTGTCTCACCAGTTGTCCGCTGACGGTCATCCTGCTAAAATATCACTTGCCCCTTGCTGTATGCGTGACAGGGCCAACCCGAGAACCCGAAAACAGAAGCGCCAAACAATGCTTCCCGCTTAGCCCCAACTGCGATTGATTGTGAGTTTCTCGTTTGGGTTACTGCTCACAGCGGTGTTGCTCCGGGGTCCCCTAGTATGACTGGAGCTGAGGTCGGTGAGGAAAGTCGCCGCTGGTATTGGCTTAGTGTTGGCCTATATCTATATACATGATCTAACTGAGTCTTGGCAGATTTCGGGTTTCCGGAACAACGTGTTTGGTCTGTATAGATGTATATAGGCGCAAGGGAAGAACAGTGTGTTGTATACTGCAACCTTTCCGCACTGTGTTGTGTTGATTGGCGTGGTCAGTCCGCAATGTGAACATATATGAGAGAAAGAGCAAACTCTCTGGTGCAGAGATATGTCCCCGTTCCTAGTTGCAACCGGTTGAAACCCAAGGCAAACGTGTCAGAAGCATTGAAAACCGATACTGCGAAACCCCACAAATGATAGCCGCCTTTTTGAAATCGCCCAAAGTAGTATGAGGGTCTGCCCTTCGCTCATTGGAAATATTGGGGAAGGGCTTGACGGATTGCCTCAATAACTTGGAGCGCGCAACACAGCGATGCCAGACAAATGGGCTGGCAATGCTGCGCGTGATGACGAGAGTGCCGGGGGCCTTGGGGCAGGTAGAGGGGCAGGGAAAAAGTTTCTATCTTTCTGCAGACCCTGTGTTGCACATGTCCTGCAGAAAGATAGAAACTCTTTCCTGGTCACGCCTTGTGAAAGGCATTGCTGGGGCACACCCGTTTTTCATCATGTGTCTACAGTCGTGTGCCAGGAAAGCTGCCTTGGCCATTACAGCACGGCAAGCAACACGTCACGACTTTGCATTGGCGATGTGTTCCCGAAACGCAAAAAGATGGCAGTGAGGCCATGGGGAAAGGATGGAAAAGGATGGAAAAGATTGGGCAAGATTTTGGAAAATGCTGCACCTATCTGCAGCCATTTTTGAGTTCTGGCCGCTTGCAACGTCCTGGCATCTTGCTGGCATCTCGCAATGGAGATCAAGGTGGACGCATTCTGGGTGTCGTTGCAGGATGCACCGGATGCCACCCGGCCGCCAGCCACGCCCAGGCCCGTCCCTTCGATCCTATTGTCTCAGCCAGAAGCGCACTGGGAGTACGACGTCCACGCATGCCAGCCCTTGTTCACCAGCAGTCCAGCCTTCCTGGGGCAAGCTTGCGGGCAGATGGCAATCTTGGAGGAGCTTCGCAAAGTGAAGGCGATCCTCGCACGCCGTGATCGCTCTCGGTCGCTTCACCGTGCGGCACAGAGCTGTTGATGGCCTTGATCTTGATGTGGCTCTGCGAGCGTCATGGGCTCCTGCAGAGCGAGTGCCCTCTCACCTCACCGTGTGGCACGGAGATCTTGATGGCCTTGATGTGGCTCTGCGAGTTGACATCCCGCGCGAGCAAGTGCAGAAAAAAGCGTGAGCTCGAAGATATGGTCTGCCTTGGGGGTTGGTAATGAATTCAGAGACCCTGGGAATAATAAGTGTACATATATATATATATATATATATGTATATTTATTTATTTATTCCCCAAGCAGCGAAGCATTGGGGTTCTAACTTGAGGAAAAGAGAATGGGAAAGTGTGACGCCGGTTCCGGGGTCCTGTTTTCCGCTTGTCTTCCTGTCTCCCAGTCTCTCGTGTTTCCTGCTTGTCTCCCTGTGTCTCCCAGTCTCTGCGGTCAGATGCCAGATGCTGTGCCGCTGGCTCCGGGGTCGTGTCTCCCGCTTGTCTCCCTATGTCTCGCAGTCTCTGCGATGCTGTGACGCTGGCGGGGTCGTGTCTCCCGCTTGTCTCCTGTTTTTTTTGGGCTTGTCTGTGTCTCCCAGTGTCTGCGGTCAGATGCCAGATGCTGTGACGCCGGCTCCTCCCAGTCTCCCTGTATCCCAGTCTCTGTGATCGGATGTGACGCTGGCTCCGGGGTTGTGTCTCCCGCTTGTCTCCCTGTGTCTGCGCAGATGCTGTGACGTCTCCCTGTGTCTCGCAGTCTCTGCGATGCCGCGGAGCATCTGGCATCTGACCGCAGCCGGCGTCACAGCATCTGGCCTCTAAGCGGGAGACGCGACCGGAGCCAGCGTCACTTGTCTCTCTGTGTACATCCCTGTGTCTCCCAGTCCCTGCGGTCGGATGCCAGGCGTGTCTCCCGCGTCCCTTTGTCTCCCAGTCTCGTTTTTGCCAAATGCTGTGACGCTTGTCTCCCAGTTTCTGTGGTCAGAGGCCAGATGCTGTGACGCCGGCTCTGGGGTTGTGTCTCCCGCTTGTCTCCTTGTGTCTCAGGTTTTGCGGTCAGAGCGACGCCGTGTCCGGGGTCGTGTCTCCCGCTTGTCTTTCTGTGTCTCCCAGTCTCGTCAGTCTTTGCGGTTGGCTGCCAGATGCTGTGACGCTGGGCGCCAGATGCTGTGACGCTGGCTCCGGGGTTGATGTCTCCCGCTTTGTCGCTTGTCTCCCAGTCTCTGCGGTCGGATGCTAGATGACGCTGGCTGCGGGGTCGTGTCTCCCGCTTGTCTGTGTCTCGCAGTCTCTGCGATGCTGTGACTGGCTCCGGGCTTGTCTCCCTGTGTTTCCCAGTTTCTGCAATCGGAGTGACGCCGGCTCCTGGGTCGTGTCTCCCGCTTACCCAGGCTCTGCGGTCTCTCCCTGTGTCTCCCATCCCGCTTGCCTCCCTGTGTCTCCCAGCCTCTGCGGTCGGATGCCAGATGCTGTGACGCCGGCTGCGGGGTTGTGTCTCCCGCTTGTCTCCCTCAGTCTCCCACTCTTTGCGGTCAGATGCCAGATGCTGTGACGCTTCGGGGTCGTCTCCCGCCTTGATTTTTCTTTGTGTCTCCCAGTCCCTGCGGTAAAGGAGGGCCCCGGGCAAAACCAACTGAAGCTGCTTCTGTGCGAGCTTTGTGGCCAGTTCCTGCTTACAGCCTCAACAGGAAAAATGAAGGTCCCGGGCACTTACCCAGTTTTGAGGCTGACCTGTAAACGGCGTTCGGCTCCCTTCAGCTCCCTTCAGCTCCCTCCGGCTCCCTTCGGCTCCCTTTGGCTCACGTGGCAGCAGCGCGCAAGCACAATTGAGAAGCATCAAAAGCAGTCCAGCTAGAAACATAGATTCGAAGTCAGCAGGAACGGCTTGCAAAAATTGGGAAAGGGCATGTCGCAGATTTTGCTGTTAGCCTGTGTGCAAAGGATGTGCCTCTCTCTTGGCCAAGTGCAGGTTTGCATCCTTGTGGAGCATCGTTGGAGCTAGAAGCAAGCAATGAATATGTTTATTTTTCTTGATAAAAAAACAAATCGTGACATCCGGCTGATTGCTTTGCTCAGGATACTGAGCTACCTTTTAAAAAGCAGCTCAGTGTCCCGAGCAAAGCAATCTGCCGGATGTCTTTTTTATCGAGAAACATAGACATAGGGCCCTGCTGGTGCGCCACAAGGATGCAAACCTGCACTTGGCCAAGAAGTGCGGCACTGGCTTCTGGAAGCCAGTGCCGCGCTTCTTGGTCAAGTGCAGGTTTGCACCCTTTCGGCGCATCAGCAGAGCCCTGTCGAGCCAATTAAATTTGTAGACTGTTTTCGATAGACAAATTCCGTGACATCCGGCTGATACTGAGCTGCTTTGTGGAAGCCAGCGCCGCACTTCTTGGTCAACTGCAGGTTTGAAACCTTGTGGCACATCAGCTGCTTTTCGGAAGCCAGTGCTTCTGGCGCATCAGCAGAGCCGTCAAGCCTTGAATATGTACTTTTGTTCTCGATAAACAAATACCGTGACATCCGCCGCTTTTTTGGAAGCCAGTGCCGCACTTCTTGGTCAACTGCAAGTTTGCATCCTTGTGGCCTTTAATGTGTCTGTTTTCTCGATAAACAAAGATATACTGGGACATGCGGCTGATTGCTTTGCTCGGGATACTGAGCTGCTTTTTGGAAGCCAGTGCCGCGCTTCTTGGCCAAGTGCAGGACTTGCGGCGCATCAGCAGCCCAGCCAAGTGGCCTGCGCTGACTCGACAGCGGAGACACACTTTAAAAAGCGGTTTCTTGACATGTTTTCCTGTTGGCATTTTTTCTGGTTGGTGCCTTCTAGCATCTTCTAACAAGAAAATCGCTTGGATCCTGAAAGCATTTGTGGAGTTGACCAGACTGGGCTGGCATTTGCGAGTGCTGGCCTAATGCAGGTGCGCAGGTGGACAAGTGGCAGACAATTGAGGCTAAACACAAAGCATTTAGCTTGGACTTTTGCAGCGCTGTGATGATGAGGGTGGATGAGGAGGACTCTGTTGATTCTGTGGATGATGATGATGGTGATGAGGGTCAGGATGACGAGGATGATGAGGAGAAGGAGGGTGATGATGAGTGTGAGGGTGGTGAGCCACAGAGAAGGCGACCGTTTCGTTGACAGTTTTGCTCCGAGACAACAAACCCTTGAAATGGAGAAGGGGACGGCTCCACTAAGCATTTTACCAGCGAAGCAACTAGAGGGCGTATGAAGCGGGGGCTCTAGGCGACTGATGATGCTAGGGATGCAGGAGCGCTGCAGGAAAGACCTCCAGCGGATGACACCAGCAAGTTGCGCAAGCAAGTTGCGTTAGCAAGTAGCACTAGCGAGTTGCACTAGCAAAATGCCACTAGCAAAATGGCGCA